CGCCGCTGAGCGTTCCCCTGGGCTCCTTCGTGACTTCAGGGGGAGACCCCAGCCCCGACCGAGTTTAGGGAATGGAAATGCTGAGGGACTCTAACTAGGACAGCGCGCCCCCCTGGCGCCCCCTGGCGCGGTGGGTTGGACCCCGGCCAGTTGCTTGGGGGGGGGGCGCGGGAGGAGCGGCAGCTTGGGGGAAAGTTACCGGCTGGACTATTTGGTTTCTTGCGCTCCCAGAGCCGCACTCTCCGTCCGCGGTGGGGCTGGGCGACAACCTGGGAACGACGCGGCACGACCCCTCTCCCCCTAGCCCGCCCTCGGCCCAGCGGCCGCCTTTCCGAGCTAGCTAGTGCTCACAGACCCGAGATCGCGGGTGGGTGACTGGGAGGACTTCTACCTAACACCCGTCGTGGCGCCGGCGCACCTGCCCTACCTAGAGTGAGGGTCGCTACTGTGTTGTAGAACCTAGTGTGTGTCGTCGGCAGACGGTTTCCATGGGGGGGGGGCTCTGCATTCAATTCCCATCTTTCTCTCCCCTCCTCCCACCCCACCCCAAGTAAGAGAGCGACGTGTCCCGGGCCGGGGGGGGGGCAGCGTGGGCAGCGGGTTGTGCCCGGACACGTGCCTGCCCAGGCGCCCCGGCCCTGCTAGTGTTTGGAGAGAGGGCGGGTCACCTGCCCCCCGCCCCGCACAACCCCCATGTATCAAAGGGCGGCTGAGACGTGGTGAGACCTCGGGGCGCCCTGGGGGGCGGGGGGGGGCAGGGAGCCTGGGTCCGGAGCAGGGGAGGGGCAGAGGCGCCGGTGCTAGCTGACCCACAGGAAACGAGCGCTGCTGACCTAGTTTGGGACACCGGAAGTGGGTGCTGGGGAGAGGGGGAGACCGGCAGGCTGTCCTGGCTTCCGGGCCAGGTGGAGGGTGTTCTTGAATTGACCCCCGCCCTAATGCCTTGGAGACCCCTAGCTGCAGCTGAGGACCAGAATGAGTCAGCGCAGCTATTTCCCCTTCCCCCAACTTATTCCTAGGGAGGGAGACCGTTTATCAGGGTCGAGGGGAGCCAGATTGGGCAGTGAGGGGTTAAAGCAGGATGGGGACTCTCTGTTCCCTGAGGGAGTGTGTGCTGTGTGTGTGTGGGGTGGCCTGAAGACTGGAGGATTATGGAGTTGCCTCCTGCTGTCCCACACACACCAACTGGTTTGGTCACCCCTGTACCCTCCTGGCACTACTGGTAGAGCTGGCATGAAGTGGGCATCAGGTTGGGAGGAGATATTGAGCATAAGGAGTGTTTTTTCTGGGCAGAAGAAGGGCATATTTGTGACCTGCTCTGAGTGGTAGTTAGTGCTCCTCCTTAGTGGTAACTGGGGAGCAGGGCAGGGGGCTCCCCCTGGAGCAGCTGATGAAACAAGGAGAAATCTCTGCCAGTGCCTCCTGTCCCTGGCCCCCGGGACCCTGGCTCCCCCAGCGTGCCTCTGTTACACGGTTGCTGTGGGCACGAGGCTGCCTGCTGGCACCCCCAGACACTGTCCCCTCCCTTGGGTACCAAACCCCCCCAGCCTTGGCACAGGGGTCAAGAAGGGGTTAATACCATCAAAAAGGGGCTCTTGGGAAGAAAGAAGGCAGTGCCCACTAGGCTCAGGTGTCAAGAAGACAGGCCCACTTTCAGTCCTGCCCAATGTGGACCCCAGTGTCTGGGAGACAGGTGCTGACCTCTTATCCCTTCCCATGGTGCCCCCTGGCACCCAGGGCCCCCAGCTCCTCCTTGGCCTACTGCCTGCCCCAGGAGGGCGCGGCGGGCAGCGGGGGCTGGGCTAACAATGCACCATCGGGCCCTTTGTGTGCTTGCACTTGGCACCCTGGGGAAGGATGGGGGAGGGGGCCCAGCGGGCATGGGGGGCGGAGCGCCTCTGGGGTGGGGACAGTGAAGACTGGGGGAGAGAAGCAGAGAATGAAAGCAGGTGGGGAGGAAAGGGAAGTAGGTCAGATAGGGTGCCGGCCCCCCATTCCAAGCCAAGTCTGAGAGAACCAGCCTTGGATCCTATGGCCGCCTGGATGGCATCACACTGGAGCCTGAGACACAGCTTCAGACTGGGCATTCAGGGTCAGAAGTTATTGCCCAGGGGACTGCTCAGATGGAGGAGGCCGGGCTTGGTACTGCCCCTTTCTTGATGGCTGAGAGACCCAGTTCTTCTGGCCCAGGGCCAAGGCCTCAAGATGGGGAGTGAATGGGCTCCAGGCAGGGCACTGCCCTCTGATAGAAGCCTCTGGGCCTGCTTTGGGGCATCCTGCCTCCAGCCTGCTTGGCTCCTTGACCTTCCTGAGAGTTAAGGCTGCTTTGCCACCAGGCCTTGGGGCCTATGCCTGTGGGTTAAGGGAGGAAGGTGAGGACAAGCAGACGGATAGGACCCTGGCATGGGGTGTGCCCGCTCTGGCCTCTTCCCCCTCCTTCTGCTGAGTAAACTCGTGAGTAAACTTGACGTTTTGCCCGGACAGTTTGAAGTTGCCTCGGTGCTCCCCCCCAGTCCTGCCAACACACAAGCGGCCAGGCGCCAAGGCGGGACTGGGGGGCTGGGGGGAAGGGGAGAGAGCTACTGACTGTCATCTCTCCTTAAGGGGTTGGGGAGGGCAAGAAATACCCCACCCACCCAGCCATGCTCAGGTCTTGGCAGGAGTCTTGGCTAAGGCCTGTCAGCATCTGTCCGAGAGCCTTAGAAAGCATAGAAAAAGTGTCCCCAAAGCAAGTCCTCTGCAGATCCCTGACCTCCACCTCTGCCGCCTCCACTTCCACCTGCTGCCCGGCCCCCCGAGATGCCATCTTTAATGTTCACAGACTGCCTGACCCAGGGGAAAAGCTACCTTTAGCAAATTCCTTAGGCAAGCCAAAGAGGGCTGCGCACTACGTTCTGTTCCACAGTCTGGGATTGGTAGGAGGTGGATCACTTTGGCATCTTAGCCTTCTCTTCCCTGAGTCCCCTCTCCCTAGCTCCCATAGCCTCTGCCCTGCCCTGTCCTTGACCTCAACACCTGGACCTCACCCCTCACAGACCTGCACTATATTTTTCATCAGGCCCAGCTGTGCCTTCCCCAAGTGCTTCCTCTGCCTTCTAGCTTTTTCCCAGAAACTGGTCAGCCTTCAGAGCTTCCTAGTCAGCAAATATCTGTGCCAGATCTAGGAGTTGAGGGTCCCCCCAGCAAAATAGGGCCGATAGAAAGCAAACAGAGAGGTGACCCCCACTAATACATCATTTGCTACCTCTTGACATCATTGATTCCTCTTCTGCCTTCGCAGGTCACTAGCACGGCAGGGGAAATGCCTTCCCAGTCCCTGCCAGGCCTCAGAGTGGGGCTCCCCCAAGCCCTTGCTTTCAACCTCATGTCTCTGGCTTCAGTTTCCTTCCTGTTTCCACTGCCCCCCCAACTCCTCCCCACCCATATGCCCCTTTCAACAGACATCCTCTCCTCCTTCCTTCCTCCTTTCCTCCTCCTTTGCCTGGGAGCGGGGGTCCTCTCGCCCCACCATGGACCTTCTAGCTCTTGTTCAACACAGTCTCTTTGGAGATTTGTACCCAAGTCCTCTGCCCTCCCTACCCCATCAGCTAGGCTCTTGGGAAGAGAACACAGGGCTTCTCAAGGGAACTACAACTCCCAAGTTACACAAAGCAATTGTGATGCATACTGGGAGTTGTAGTCCTTGAGCTCTCATTTTGGCAAAGTCTGTAAGTGTTTTTGGATGAGGGTAAAAAGCCAGGGCTGAATGGGTTATAACACAGGTACCCTCTGCATCCCCTTACTTTGTTCTTGCCATTCCAGACCCACATGACACTGTGTACCTAAGACTGACATTCCTGTCCCCTGCTGAGACACACTACCTATTCTCACCTTGGTGCCTCACCCTAGAGATGCCCACACCCTGCCCTGCTGCCCCTGGCAGGGGTGGGATGAGGGGCCCCATGAACTCCCTCCCTGCCCCCTGCCCTCCAGGCTGGTTCCCTCCCTTTATGGGGATCAAAGGGCAGGGAGCAGCCCCACCCTACTCCCTTGCAGACTGCAGGCATTAGACTAGGACTGAGGAATTGCAGGGACTTTGGTGCCCAAGCATCTGCTTGGCCAGGGGGAATGCTGGGAGGTTAGAGCCTGGTGACAGGGAGTGACATTGGCCCCCACCCTGGAGTTTGGAGTCTTTGGAAACTGCTCCCAGGGCTGTCCATACCTCCTCAGCTCACTTGTATAGGCCTTGACCAATGTGCTGTCTCTTGAGGTGGCTTGACAACAGGGTCTTAGGTCTTATCTATAGGGCCTAGGGGCCTGGGCTTGCCTGGCTGGCTGGCACCAAGGCACAGAGGTGACCCTCCCCCACCCCAGGCCCACAGTTGGCATGGGGCACTGGGAGCAGGGGGGTAGAAGGGAGAGGAGGGCAGGACTGCCAGCATCCTGGTGGGTAGGTGCCAACCGGGCCGGGAGCTGGTGAGGGGCAGCAGGCCAGCGGCACTGAGCCAGCAGCTGTTGGGGGGAAAGGGGAGGGGATACTTCAGGGGCATTTCTGTGGTCCCCCCTCAAGCCTAGCAGGACTTGGGATGGACTAGCATCTAGAGGATACTAGGGTACCCCTTGTTTAAAGGACCCTAGGAGTTGTTTAAGTGAAAATTTATGGCCCACCCATCTCTGGGCTCAGAGCCCTCCTGAGTTGCCCCTCAGGCCCAGGCGGGTCCCACCCAACCGGCCAGGGTGGCAGTGGCTTGCGCAAGGGGTGGGGCTAGGCTCTTCCCAGCAGATGCCCCCTCCCAGCTCCTTCCTCTTTCGGTGCCCACAGCTCCCCCATTTGTCTGTCCCCCTCAAGCCACCTCTGTCCCCCTGATCCTCTTGGCCACTGGGGGCTGGCATGCGTGCTGCCCCCTGGCCTGGTTGGCAGGGGCTGGCACCCAAGCAAGGAACTGTGGTATGTGAGTGGGTTTGGGGTGAGGCTCTAGGAGGGCGGGGTGCCGGCTTGCTCAGCCCCTCAGGGCCCCAGCCCAGTACAGGGTGGGGAGAATTCGGCAGTTCCCAGGGGGGCTGAAGGGCCCACTGGGGTCTGGAGGGCCTCCTCCCTCCTCCCACATCCCTGAGGGTCTGGGACCCGGGACCTGGGCACCTGTCACCCAGGAACTGACTGTCCAGGCTTCCCCTCCTCCCTCTTTGGCCACTGTCACCTTCTGTCCCCACCCCGCCCTTCTTCCTTCTCCTGGTCCCACCTCCAGCAACCTCTCCACTTGCTCCTCCTCACCTCTGTCCTCCTGGACTGTCCCAGTTCCTACCTTTCCTACCCCTCACCTTTTTCCCCTTTAGGACTGAGTAAGGACAGGCGGGGGTGGGGACGGCTGGGGCTTCGGGCACTGCAGGCAGAGGCTCCGGGCCCTCTCCCACGCTGCCAGCCCTCCGGTAACCCCTCCCTCCAAGCTGGAAGGAGGGGGACAGCACCCAGAGGGTTAAGGCTGTAGGGGGAGGGGCTGGCCCAGGTCGTGGGCGGCCCCTTTGAAGGAGAGCTGGAGCGGGGAACAGCCACCCTACCTCCCCCCAGCCTAGCCCTCCCCAGCCCCTCCCAGCGTGCTGCCCCCAGGGGCCAGGAGGAGTTGCTGGCAAGGCCCCTCAGCGTCCAGGTGAGTAGGCCTGCTCTGGCTTGAGAGGTCAGGCCCCAGGGGAGGCTCCAAGGCCTAGAATTGGCCAAGGGTCAGAGAAGGACCAAAAAACAGGCTTGGAAGAGGGTTCCAGACTTTACTGGGGGCTGTAGGGACCTGAGGGTCTGAGGAGCTAAAGTTGGGGAGTCTTCAGAGTCTGAGGGACCCAAGAAGAGTAGGAGAGGTAGAAGGGCCTACAGGAGCTGAGTGATTGCTGGGCCAGCCTAGGAGGTTGGACAGGCTGGCAGGGAGCCGGGCTCCGGGGATCGGGCTGGGGTGTCCTCTGGGGCTGGGGGGCTCAGGTTTCTGCCGGCGGCTTGGCGGGTGTGGGGTTACCAGGCAGCTCGGTTACCCAGCCAGAGACACTAGGCTGGGGGAGGGGGGCACAGGGCAGACCCTGGCACCTTGCGCTGCCTCCTCGGGCCCTGAGGGGAGCTGGCATGGCCCAGGCAGTGTTCCCTACTGGGAACCCTGGTGAACAGGGTCTATCCAGTGGGCAGTTGCCTGGGCCATGGTGGGCACCCTCTGGGGAAAGTCCAGCCTCTCCAGAGCTGGAAACTCTGACAGACAGAGAGGCACTGGTTGTCCCCCTCACCCCACATCCGCTCTCTCTGCACACCCCTCCGCCATTTATTCTCCCCAACTGGCCCCCAAATTTTGGTCCCCTGCTTCATCCAGAAAGAGCATGTGAGTTCTCTAAATGCAACCATGTCTTGGCAAGACCAGGCCTTGGAAGGCAGGCCCTTGGTTTAATTCTTTTGCCCTCTCTTTTCCACACATTCCCAAAGAGAAAAGAAGGGATGCTAGGGGCAGGGAGCATATGGAGAAGTGAGAGAAGCAAAGCGAAGGGGAAGAAAAAAGGAGAGGTAGGGGTGGTTTTTAGCTGGAGGGGACCGATCCAGTAGAGAAGAGATGAGGGGCCGGCAAAGGTGGAAGGAAGGAAAGCAAAGGATAAATCGTGTGGAGGGAGGACAAGGGTCAGAAAAGGTAAGAAGGGGACAGAAAGAGGAGTCTCAGGAGCGGGTCAGGAGTGAGGGTGGCTGATGGGCAGTGGGTACCCAGACGTGGAGGGGCGGAAGGCTGGGAAAGAGAACGGCCCACCTTCCATCCTCCGCCATCTTTTATCTTCCTCCCCTTTCCCTTGAAGCGGCTAAGACACTGTAGGCTATGGATGGTGTCCTGAAAAGAAATATGGAGAAGCAATAAGGTCTCCCTTATTCAGGAGCCCCCGCACTGGGATTGGGGGGATCTTGAGGGGGAGGCTTAACCCCCAGGGCACCGGGAAGCAGCCAGCTCCCCTCGCCTCCTTCCCCCTTCGTGGCTTGCGGTCTCTCTTCCCCGCCTCGGCCCCCAGGAAGTGTGAGTGCTGGGGGTGGTGAGGTTAGGAGGGGGGAAGCGTCACATGGGGGATGGGGAAGGCATGCACAAGCTTGGAGGGGCTGGGGGGCAGGAGGAGACAGGCTCCCTAAGTGACCTGGGTATCCCCCGTGCAGAAGACCTCTCCTGGGAAGCCCTTCCAGTCCTGCAGTGATATGTGCCTCAGCCCCTTCACTGCCCCCCAACGGGGCAGTCCAGGTGGCTGTGGCCGTGGGCCCCGGAGTCCCTGGGAAGGGGTGGCAGAAGCCAAGGAACAAGGATCCCTGGGTCCCTGAGGATTCTAGATTGGCCACCCAATTTCCTCACTCCCCTGGTCCAGCCACAGGCCCAAACCCTGGCTTTGTGCAAGCTTAGGGCCAAAAAAACAGGAAGAGAACCTGAGGCTGGAGTTGGGGTGGAGGGTGGGGGTAGAAAGAAGAAAGAAGTAAAGGGGGGTGGGTAGCCGCAGGGCACTAGGAACACAGTGAAGAATCTTAGGTCCCTTCATCACCCCTAGCAGGAGGATGTCGCAGCCCGGTCCTCATCCTCTCTCAGCCAAGCTACTGCTCCAGGAGAAGCCTGGCCAGGTCTCTCTCAGGCTCCCTGGCAGAGCCTAGGGTAGGGGCCTTGGAGCCTTGATGGGGGGGCACTTTGTGCCTGTGTCTCAGGCCCATATCTATTTTCTCCACTGCTAATCCTGGTTCCGCCTGCTGCCCCCCACACTAAGCCTCACTCCCCTAATCCCCAGGGTGGGGGGGAAGAGGGACCAGCTTTACTCAGCTGCCCCATTCAGGGCCTCCTATCCCTGCCCTTCAGCTGGCTCAAGCCAGCAGTGTTGGCCCTGGTGCCCCCCACCCGGCGCTAGACACAGCCCGAGGTCAGCACCTGGGAAAGGGCTTCAGTCGTGTCTTTTCTCTTTCCAAGACAGGACCAGTGTCCTCTGCTTTTGGTTTCTTGGTGGTGGACCCACCTTGGCAGGTGCCTTTGGACACTGAGGGATAGATGACAGGGACTTGCACCTTTGTCCCCTCCCACCTTTCTCACCCTCAAGTCTTCCCCCAACCGAAGACGGGCAGGCTTGACTCAGGGCCCAGTTTCAAGAGAGCTGCCCACCGGCTTGGCCGGTCTAGCAGGCCTGACAGTGAGGGGAGCCTGGGGGGTGGCGGGAAAGAGGGGAGCGATGGGGCGGGGCCCCCAGTTCTTCCCCCTACCAGGCAAACAGACCAAACAGACCTTACCTGGTTCCTTGGCACAGCTGCCCCCCCAACTGCCACACACACCCATGCCCACAAGGTCTTAGCAAGAGGGGGCATGCCAGGTTGGGTGGGGATGGGGCATCATCCTGGGCTCTCTGGGATGCAGAAGAGGGAAGGGTGCACAAGGTGGGGTAGGCACCCTGACCCCATGGCTCCACTCTGCCAAAAGAGAGGGGGGGCTTCTACCCTGCCCTCCGAGATGAGGCTAGGAGTACCCCCTTGGCCTGGTTGGCACCAGCAGAGTTCCAGGCGGCGGCTCTGCTGGCATGGGTGCTAGAGCCCTGGGTAAGGTCTGGGGACGTTTCCCAGAATCTGGAGAGGCGTAGGAACACCTGCTCCTCCCTTTATGCCCTTGCTGCTCCTCCTTCCTTGCTGCCTCTTGGCCTTGGGCATTGAATTTGGACCTAAGGGGTTAAGCACCCACCCTTACACAAGCCCTATGTGAGTTGTGTTTTGAACCAGCCTGAGCCTGTGACCTGACAGCAGGGTCAGCCAATCAGCACCCTGCCACGCCAAGTTGCCATGGAGACTGGCCCTGGGGTGGGAGAAAGGCGGGTTTAGTGGGAATGGGTGGGGTGGGTAGGGAAGGAGAAGAGAGGGCTAGGGTGAGCCACATGCCTGTGGGTGCCCAGCTCCTAACCAATGAACTGTGAGGACAGCCCCGCCCATTCTCCTAGAAGGGACAGGATCCAGTTGGGCCCAGGAGGTTGCCCACTGTTGCTTAGGTGGCCACCACTTCCACTGCTGCTGCCTCCCACCTGGTTTTTGTTTGTTCCTAAGTCCTGGGGCCATTTGCTACTTGTTCTATTTGTAATGTACTGGCAGGAAGAAGACCCAAAAGGAGCAGGGAAAACTCCCAGACTGCTTGGCCCCAGGGAGAGAAGTGGCTTGGGAACTTAAGGTGGGAATGGGCGGCCTATACAGAGGTACCCAGGTGTGGCTTCCAAGCATAAACAGACACGTGGGGGCTGCTGTCTCAAGGCTTCCTTGCAGGAGTCCTGGCGCTGCAGTAAAGGTGGCAGGCAGAGAGGCAGACAGGGACAATGGTGTTCTTGTGTCCCAAAGAGGAAATCTGTGGCCCTTGACTCCCCTCACCTTGCAAAAAAACCTTTCCCCAGCAATGGCCAGGCCTGAACAGCTGCTGGCATGTTAGAGAGGACACTGACAACTGTCCCAAGCTCATTTGGACTGCCTTTAATAATTTAGATGAAGAACAGGCCTTCTCAGGAAGGGAAGTGACTTGTCCAAGGTCAGGTAACCAGGCTCCCTCAGGGTGCTTGGAGGGAGGGAGGCCATCTGTGTTTGGAATCTGCCCCAGGCGAGGCCAAGGCAGACCACTTATTGCACCCCTACTGTGTGTTAGGCAAAGTTGTGTTATACTTGGTCTCATTCACAACAACCCCAGGAGTCAGCTGGAATTCTCCCATTTTATAAGATGAGGAAAGAGGCTTGAAGATTAAGTCACTCGCTTAAGGTCACAGAGCTAATCTGTGGCAGAGCAAGAATTCAAACTCAAGCCTGGCTGACCCTAGAACCTAGCTCTTTCCAGGACCCAACAAAATGTCTCCAGTCGCTCCAGTTCCACACAAAGTCAGGGCTGAAGGGCTGGGCCCTCAGGGCTTCCACTCCCACCCCTGCTTGTGCAGTTGAGGGAAGTCAAGTGCAGGGAGAAGTGACTTGCCCAAGGTCATTCAGAAGACAGAACAGCAGAGCCAGGACTCCAAGCCAGTCTCCCCACTTCCAGGCCAGAGTCAGGCCACGAACCCTGTCCCCCACCCTGCTGAGGACGACATGGTCTGTGCTGCCACTGCTCTGCCTCTTGTGGCTGGGCCCTGGTGAGGGGAGCATTGAGGGGGAGCTACAGCTGTGCGGAGGGAGGGGCTGTCCTGGAATGGGGAGGGAGAGGAGGTGGGTAGCTGGGGGGATGGGGGTAGCACTGGAACTTGGCCTATTGGCAGTAGGGGAGGGGGCGGGGGTGATGCTTATCTGTGTGGGGCAGGAAGCACCCTCGCCAGTGACACCCCAGCAAAGGGTGGCTGCTCCTTGGCCCCTTGGGGGAGGGGAGGGTGTGGGGGAAGGGATGCTGGGAGCTGTTTCCCTTTTGGCCTCTAGAAGGAGGCATCTCGAAGGGGAGATGCACTTTTGGTGGCAAGGAGGAAGAGGATGGTGCTTGCAGGGGAAGACACTTGTTTGCACAATGTCTTACTGTGTGGTAGGCCCTGTGGGAGAGAACCTGGTCCAGTGTGAATCTGAATGCTCTCATCGGCCCCTCCTGTGCTATGAGGAGCCATGAGGAGGCTCTGTCATAAAGATGGTTATCCAGTTTTCAGGTGAACTGAGGCCAGGTGCTAAAGTCACCAGAGTCCTTCAGCCAGTGCTTCGTGAGACCTAAGCCAGCCCAGTGCTTCTTCTGAGGGATAAGAAGGGCGAAAGTGAAGCGCAGGTCCCTAGAACGGAGCCAGACAGGAGGGCTCCTGTTCTCCTGGAGGTGGCTCATAATGGCACAGTGATGTGGACATGGACTCGGGGACACCACAGGGCTTAAACTCTGTGCCCCATGTGACTCAGAAAGTCACCTTGTCTGCCTGAACTTAGTTCCCTTGTCTGTGAAATGGATGACAATCATCCTTTGCAAGGATGTAAAGTACCTAGCTGGCTTGTGGCCGTCCCTCACTAAGCATGGGCCAGTGTCAGCATCCCTTCCCCGGTGCCCTTGGAAGGCTGAATGGTCTTAACCTCCCCCTCTGCTTGACCCTGCAGAAGATGGGGAGCCCCGAGGACGACTTGATTGGAATTCCATTCCCGGACCACAGCAGTGAGCTCCTGAGCTGCCTCAATGAACAGCGCCAGCTGGGCCACCTATGCGACCTCACCATCCGGACGCAAGGCCTTGAGTACCGCACACACAGGGCTGTGCTGGCCGCCTGCAGCCACTACTTCAAGAAGCTCTTCACTGAGGGTGGGGGGGCCGTCATGGGAACAGGGGGTGGTGGGACAGCTGCTGGGGGAGCCGGGGCTGGCGTGTGTGAGCTGGACTTTGTAGGGCCAGAGGCGCTGGGTGCCCTGCTTGAATTTGCCTACACGGCCACATTGACCACCAGCAGCGCCAACATGCCGGCTGTGCTCCAGGCTGCCCGGCTGCTGGAGATCCCCTGTGTCATCGCTGCCTGCATGGAGATTCTGCAAGGCAGTGGGCTGGAAGCTCCCAGCCCAGATGAGGATGACTGTGAGCGAGCCCGACAGTACCTGGAGGCCTTTGCCACTGCCACCGCCACGGCCTCGGGAGTTCCCAACGGTGAAGACAGCCCTCCGCAGGTGCCCCTCTTACCACCACCGCTGCCACCACCTCGGCCTGTTGCCCGCCGCAGCCGCAAGCCCCGAAAAGCTTTCCTACAAACCAAGGGGGCCCGGGCCAACCACCTAGTACCTGAGGTGCCTGCTGCATTGCCCACCCATCCCTTGACCTACGAGGAGGAGGAAGTCGGCAGAATGGGCAGCACTGGGGGCAGTGGGCTGGGCGACAGCTACAGCCCCCCCACAGGGACTGCCTCGCCTCCTGAGGGGCCCCTGAGCTATGAGGGCTATGAGGGTGAAGAAGAGGAGGAGGAGCTGGTTTATCCCCCAGCCTACGGGCTGGCACAGGGCAGTGGGCCCTCCCTGTCTCCAGAGGAGCTGGGCTCTGATGAGGATGCCATTGATCCTGACCTGATGGCCTATCTGAGTTCCCTGCACCAGGATGCCCTGGCACCAGGCCTGGATGGCCAGGACAAGCTGGTTCGTAAACGCCGCTCCCAGATGCCCCAGGAGTGCCCAGTCTGCCACAAGATAATCCATGGAGCAGGCAAACTGCCGCGCCACATGAGGACCCATACGGGTGAGAAGCCCTTTGTCTGTGAGGTCTGCGGCGTCCGCTTCACCAGGTGAGCACCAAGGGGATATGGGGCCCAGCAGGGGCGGAGCGTGTTGGAGTATGATCTGAGTGGATCCAGGTGGTCCTAGAGAGACAACAGGATGTGTGAAGTGATAGGAGAAACCAGGAGAGACTGTGTGTGTGTGTACGGGGGTCTGGTGCCTAAGGTCACAAGGGAGGCAGAAAGTGATATTGGCAGGGCCTAGTTAAACTGAAGGCAAGTGGTAGGTACTGGGGGCAAGAAGGAGGCAATGAGATGGGAGTGGGACAAGGCCCGGGAGCGTGACCAGGAGGAGGTGAGATCCCATCCTGACCGCCACCCTTGCTTCCTCCACCCCTGCCACACTAGGAATGACAAGCTGAAGATCCACATGAGGAAGCACACAGGAGAGCGACCCTACTCGTGCCCGCATTGCCCAGCCCGCTTCCTGCACAGCTACGACCTCAAGAACCACATGCACCTGCATACGGGGGACCGGCCCTATGAGTGCCACCTGTGCCACAAGGCTTTCGCCAAGGAGGACCACCTGCAGCGCCACCTCAAAGGCCAGAACTGCCTGGAGGTGCGCACCCGGCGGCGCCGCAAGGACGATGCGCCACCCCACTACCCACCGCCCTCCACCGCCACCTCATCTCCTGCTGGCCTTGACCTCTCCAATGGCCACCTGGACACCTTCCGCCTCTCTCTGGCTCGATTCTGGGAGCAGTCAGCCCCCTCGGGGGCCCCGGTCTCTACCCCGGGGCCCCCTGATGAGGAGGAGGAGGAGGGGGCACCCACTACACCCCAGGCTGAAGGTGCCGTGGAGTCCTCTTAAAGAGGCGTGAGTGGCCAGGCTGGAGTAGCAGAGGCTGGAGCAGCAAAGGCTGGGGACACCATGCCAAGCAACGGGAGCACGAAGGGACACAGAGCAGAGATCACAAGCACCGAGGCCGTCAGAGTCAAGTCAGCCCCTTTGCCCCAGAGCCCTCATTCCAGTTTGGAGCTGAGGTGGTTTTGGGCCAGGGGCTTCCTGGATTGTGGCGATCCCCATGAGTGATACATATGATGCTATGTATATATTTATAGCTCTGTTGTAAAGGTGGGCTCCCTGTCCCCAGCTGCTCCTGGGGAGCAGAAGCAATAATGTATTTCTTCTTTTTGGGGTCCCACTTCGGCTATGCGGGTTTCTAGAAGGCAGGGGCTTGGGACCAAAGCCTTGCCCCTGCTCCCATGCCTCTTGGGGGTTTTGGCTGTGTAAGGGGGTGAAGGACTGCCCCTCCTTCCTGGTTTCTGTTCCCTTTTCCCAGCGGCGAATTATGCAAAAGGGGTGGCAAAGGAAGGGTAGGTGGGGAAAGCAAGGTAGAGAGGCTTGAAGGCTGAGGGTGGGGGACGACTGGGCCTGTAAGGAAGGAGCCATCCCAGTCCCCTCCGCCCTGCTCCAGCGCTGAGTCATGGGGTCCTGGAGAAGAGGGGCGGGGTGGCCTGATCTGCTCGCCCGCCCCTGGGGGCAGCGGGAGGGCCCCGCCCAGCCTAGGGAGCCGCTGCACAGCGCTCCCTCCCTCCTCCCTCTGCGTCCCCGGGCAGGGAATGTCTTGTTCCCGCCGCTCCCTCCCCGGGGCCAGAGGGCAGGGCGGGCCGGGCGCGTCTCCCCTCTTCTGCCTACCTCCTCCCCGCCCAGGTGCGAGCCGGAGCCGCCACCGCGGCCGCCCCTGACTCACGCCGCCCCCGGGCTGGCGGGGCGCAGGGTGTGGGACCGGGTGAGGGGTTGGGGAGCCTGGCGGGCAGCAGGCAAGCCGGCGCCACCTGGCGGCCGAGCCCTGCGCAAATGGGCGAGCGCCCCCCGCGGCCATTGGGCGCCAGCTGTCTTCCTGCCCCCCAGGAGCCCCGGCCCGCAGACTGGCGCGTTCTCTCGGAGGTGGTGGGTTGCGTTGCGGTCCTGTGGAAGAGGGACCCCTTCTCAGATCCTTGCCAGCCGGCCGCCTTGTGGGTCAGGGGAAAAGAATCCTCTCACTTCCCCTAGGATTGAATCCACCCTCATCTGTACATAGCCTCTTCTGTTGGTTTTGTTGAAATCTAGTTTCAGATTTTTAACTCCCCCATTCTGCTGGGGGCCGGGGAGTGTCCCCAACCCCTTCCTCGCTGGGTGCTGGACCCCCATTGCGGCCTGGGCTCCGCCTTGCACTATTTTCCCTCATTGGCCTGGTGGCCCCCTTCCTTCTCCAAGGGGCAGGTTCAGGGGCCCGGTGCTCAACCCCCTTCCCATGTACCCCTATGCCCATTTGCACAGCTGCCCAGGTACCCCCAACAGTGGGGAGGGGTCACAGGGAAGGGGTAGTGGAACCAGTCCCTGTATCTATTTAAAAAGTGATGATGTAATATATTGGGGTGGGAGGGCAGGTCGGTGCCCTGGGCCTCACCTTAGCATTTCAGGTGATGAGGGGAGCCCAGGGCAGGGGAGACCTGGGGCCTGGCCCCAGAGAGTGGGTCAATGTGGCCTCCCCTCTCCCTACTGTGGCTTTCCCATTCAGTGCCTTAGGAGGGGAGGTGTTCCCCTCCTCTCCTGTTCCCTTCCCCTAGCCCTGCCCCCCCCCACCTTGGGTGTAAGCGACAGGAAGAAATAATAATTTAAGATTCACACTTGTGTCCACTTTTGGTTCCTTTATTTTCGGAGTGGATGGGAGGAGGGATCAGGAGGAGAGGGAGGTGAGAGACAGAGGGTTCTGGGGAGGGGGCTGCTGAGGGGCAGAGGATTTCTGAGGGGATGAGAAATCCAGGCAGATCCTGGGTGGGTTTCAGGCAGGAGCCATGGCCATGTGCTACCTCTGCTAAATCCCCTTGTCCTCCAGGTCACTGGGGAGGAGAGGGAAGGGACAGCTCTATCGCCAATGTTTTGTTTTCACAGGTGTCCCTGCCCCTGCCCCATCTGCTCAGATCCAGCTCCTGTTATTTACCAGCGGCTCCTGCTCTCCTGGCCCCTGAGGCATACCAGCCCCAGGCTGGAGATAGCTTCTGATTTTAGGCTTATGCTGAGGGATGGGTGGGCAGTGACTCGCCCAAGGTCACGTAGCTAGTACGGGCAAAACTACTGGTGACCTCAGCTGTTGCCTTGCTCAAGGCTCAGCTGCCCGCTGCTGACCCAGCCTTTTAACTTCCCTGGGCCTCTGGAACTGCTGAAAGAAAGCCTTGCCTCCCTTTGCAGCTCTGGGCTTATTAACCACCTCTGTGCCTGCCCTACAGCTTCTTTTGCAGGGCCTCCAGGTGGAGGCAGCTTAGCCTTCTCGTGCCCCAGTGTTCCCTGTGAAGCCCTCAGCTATTGCAACAGCTGTATCACTGGCACTGTGACAGCTGATCCTTCAGACACCTTGCCACATCCATCCAGGGTGCCAGTACTGGACTTGGGCTACTCGTGTGGCCCAGCAGCCTCCTCACAGGAGGACCTGACTCCTTGGCTTTCTTTTTTTTTTGTCTTTTTGAGACAGGGTCTCGCTATGCAGTTCAGGCTGGCCTTGAGCTTACTTTGTAGCCCAGGCTGATCTCGAACTTGCAACGATCCTTCTGTCTCAGTCTCCCAAGTACTGGGATTACAGGTGTGCGCCACCACGCCCGGCAATATACTTACTTTCATTTAGATAATTACTTTTTTACTTTCATTGTGAATTTCATTCCATTAATAGTGGTTGAACT